GCGTGCTTGATTACAGCCCCGGGCCTTTATATGTGACGGGGCTGTACTATTTCGACTACCTCTGACACATGGGCTCTATTTGATAGGGGGCTCTATTCGAGGGGGGGGGGAGGCTTGTATTCGAGCTTGTACGATATGTGGTATATGGACCAAAGAGGGGGACGACAGATCTCTGGCCAACATGAAAGAATATGACAAGTTCGTAAACTAGTTAAAAATAAATAAAAAACACACCTGTTGTGATGTGTGGACAGTCAAAACGTGGTCTTTTACCTGGCTACGGTCACTTTTGTATCGTTAAGCTTTGACCACCGACACTAGTAGAGCCACCATCACACATGGCGGTGCTGTATGGAGACGATCCACGAGCAAAGGCACTGTAATTTCACAATTTTTCAGTGTACTCCTATTTTCGGTATTTTCGGTGCGTCTGTTTCATACCTAAAATTTCAATACACCGAACAAACACTAACACATATAATCCAATAGGGAACTGCTTGTCTGTACCTAAATTTTCTGTTCACCTAACCTGGCCTTTTGCCATCATACCGAAAACATTGATTTCTGAAATTAGAGTATACAAGCTGTCAGGAGATGGGAAGACTCGCAATGCTTCAAACTTTCTCAAATAATTATGCTACTAGTCTACGAAATTCATGAACCCTCTTGTCTCCATTCTCGCCTTCTCTTGTCTCGCGTCCCATTTGTCTGGATCTCGCCTTGTGCATAATTCTCCACTAAATTCATCAACCACTTATAATATTGACTACCGTTGTGTTAAAAAAAAACTCATCTTTTCGTTTCATTATTTTCCATTTTGTTCGCCTACCTCTCTATTTATATAATTACACTGCCCCACTATGCTATAGTCACCCAGCACTCAGCTTCACACAATTCTCAGCCAGCATGTTAGCCCATTGATTACATATCAGGGGTCCCGCTAAGTCTTACACTTGTTTCCGCCTGCATCCACCTTAAATTCCCATTGTGCTTTGGCCAGACTGCCTTAAATATTGTTTGCCTGATGATTGCACACGGTGCATGAAACTCAGAGTAGCAAAACATTACGAGTGATCCATTGTTTGTTGACATGAGTATAATTATATTATATATTATACTATACTCAAATTCTCGATTGCAGGTTTCATGTCTCTTTCTAGTTTTACTCCTGGTCTGCAGTAGTTGCATACATGAAGGGAGACACATCACCACCTCCAAGATATGGACAAAAATCATGAATTCCAGCGAAATAATTATGCGGAGCCCAACAAAACTTACGTTTGCAGATGACTACATTAGCAGTTGACCCTGAACCCGCTCTGTAAGCATCATCATATGTAACTATACTCCTGCCGGATTGAAACGTTAGCGCATAGCCCACTGTTGTACGCCAGTCCAAGAGCATCTTCTTGATACAAGCAGAATCGCCCACCGTCGATTCGTCATAGTTAGGTCTCAAGTTCTGGCAGGTTTGATACCCAATTGGAGCAACCTTGTAAACATCTGTACTACATGTCTTTGTTGGAAGCACTGAGTGTGAATAAAGCACGCAGGAATGAACAGGAATGAGCAGGAATGAACAACATGATACTAGTGATCACAAACACATCTTTGGGCAGGAACGATTATCCCAATTTTTGGGCAATCCATTGATAACTCCGCAACAATCAACTAATCGTTATATTATAGATCAATCGCTAAGGGGTTGGAGTCCAAAAGGTACTGACCCCCCCCCCCCGATTTATGAAGTTAGAATCAGTTTCCACTGTGAGTATGCAGGTGCCAGGGATATGGTTCATGTTCTTAGGTTCAATTGACTTCAAAGCAGCCATGTTTTGGAGCTACCCTTTCCGCCTGCGAGTTCCCGTCGGGAACAGACACCCGTCGGGAACAGACACGGTCATTAACTTGCCGTACTAAGTGCCCAAGGTGCATAGCGCAACTCTGTGTGACAATGAGAGCATTATGAACTGCATGATGTGTTGTGGGTACATGTTGGGATAATTCGAATTTCCGAGTAATTCATTTTTCTGGCACTTTGGGGTGAATGCCGAGGATTCTACTTGTAGCTCTCCACCTGCCCAACCAGCATTCCGGTTACCGCAGCAAACAGTAGTCGAATGCAGGCTGAACGCTGGTCAGCAGTACCTCCTTGTCCCTGGTGAGAATAATGAATTGAAGCAACGACACCCAACAAACGAAACCAGCAGCAGCAGCAGCACCAACAACCACCATCACCCACATTAAAAAGCACACGAAAATCAGCAGCACATAGGAGTAAACATCCAACCGACGCCTATATGGACAAGGCAACGAACTATTGAATTTCAAATTGTGCAAGCTTCTTACCTATGCACTCGCCCTTCACTAGGAATGCATCAAATGCTACGCATTTGCATCCATTCCCTGTGTCTTGTGCTCCGGCAGGGCAAGCTGTCAATCACACAACACAGAATAAAGGGGTGGATCAAGTCAAGTCTTGCGCCTGGTCTACAACAATTCATCAGGCTGGAATGAATGCATTTGACATTTTCTACGGCTCAAACGATCATTCAGTAGCACCGAACGATTGACAGATGTCACTAGAATTCGATACTGTAAATATACAAATTTTCGGCAGCTATTTAATTTCGGCTATATTCGGCACCGACCCAAAACGCCTAAGTTAACCCATTGACTGCTGAGCCCGAATATATTCGGGATTCAAAATGACGTCAGGGCGCTGAGCCCGAATATACTCGGGCTGACAGGCTATCCTACTGTAAAAAGTTCCGTGTTCCAGCGTAGGGCTGAAAGAGACCCCAGAGTCGAGCGGTACATTTCCTGCATTCAGTACGAGAGGTTGCGGGTACGAATCCCGCTTGGATACGTTTTTTCTTCTTTTTCGCCCGGTGATTCAACTCAAATTGGCGACTTTTTCGTATTTTACGCAATTTGGATGAACTTACGTGTCATATAGCATTTTGTTCCTTTTTCTGGGAACTATATCGAGTTGGTCAGCGTGATAATCATAGCCTTGGTCAACATTTCACAAGAGTTCAACAACCTAGTTGCCTAGACTATGAAGTTGTGGAGCTGTATATTGGCCCTATTTTTAGCATTTTCTTCAGAGCCTCAGATGAAAGGCCCTGTAGCCCTCAATGGGTTAAAATGCCGATGAAAATTTTCACAGCATCTGTCGCACTATACCGTGCCCTCTGATCTACCCCACGCCGAAAATAAATCGCCGCCAAAATGTCAAAAATCGTGAAGTGCCGAAATTTTGTATATTTACAGTATCCTGTAAAAGCATGTTCGGTGGTGTTTATATTTTTGGTAACTTCGGTGCCAATTGTTTTCCGAAAATAGAATGCACCAAAATAATTTCGGTTTAGCACCGTAAAGTAACGCCAGAGCGCCCCACTATCTCGTCCTTTCGTCGTCGTCCTCTGGAGGTGGTTTCCTGTCCGTAAGTAATACGACATGGACCTTTTACATACATTGCACAGTATGCAGTCAATCCGAATCCAGTTTACCTTCCAGCTTATGCGAGCTCCACATATAAACATGCCAAGTGTGACCTTGGTACGAACAGGTTCTCAAACCGTACAAACTTAGTAGCATTCTACGATTTTCTTCCCGTGGCTGTAAAATCAAGGTGGGGCGATCTCTCGCGAGACGGGGCGCTCTCACGGTACTTTACGGTACTAGTAAACTTACCTGGAAAGCGGGTGTACCGAAAATTTCCCTCCACTGGACCACTGATTTTGGAGAATACCGAAAATATTACACCATGAAAATTTCTACTTTTTACAGTATTTTAAAAGAGTAACTCTCCATCACTGTAACTGGATACTATATATAGTCAGAAAGTGCAATAACTAGACACAAAAACTGACAAGAGTACTGAGACATTCGACGTCCTGACACCTAGCTTCAACACATCTCCATAGCGCTAACCGACGGCCAGTATCCAGTTACAGTGATGGAGAGATACTCTTAACTCGTATCCATATGTCCTTTTCCTTTCCACATTTTCTTTATTCACATTCTTTTTTTTATTGATTTGTCAGCTGTACTGGAACACCAGGCCATGAAGATATTCCATAAGGCCAGGAAGTCGTAAAGGGCTGTCCGAGGTTACCAATAATATTTTCAAAACGAAATGTTTTCGTTTGTGGGTGGGTTTGCTGGTGCTTCGTTTTGAAAATAATTATTGAATGCTGATTGAGAATGCCCAGTTACTTCTGGATGTCTAAAATTGACATAAATATTTTATTGGAATTCGTTTTACCTGCAGAAAAGGTGGGTGGGTGGGTGGGGGCTGAAAAATACTAAAACGTTTCGTTTTGTAAAAACAATCGGTAACCCCGGACGGCCCCTAAAATACCGATGAAATGCCGGTATTTTACGACTCCCTGGTCGCTACAGTATGTGCAATCATTGGTCAAAGAGTCAATTTTTGTTTGTACACAAAATGGTGATATATGAACCCTAACTTGAGCGAAGTTGACTGATTCGCTAAATCTTAAGCTGCTCAACAAGAACATTGCAGAATTCTGAGCACCCATCAATTGGATATTTTCGGTATTTTTCCTCAAATTGCCGGCTGTTTTGCTGAGTATGTGCAAGAACACATAATCCCCAAGAGTGTACAAATGCCTGCACAATCCTCCATGCTGTGCTGCAACTTCACTTCACGTGACATGGTTCAAAAGGTTAGGCTCGCAAACAGACCACAAGAGAGTTGAGCCCAAAGCTGGGCTGCATACAACCCTGTAACTATCATGCACAAAGTGCAAATAGGGTGTATGGGTTCGTCACGGGATGTGAAGTTCTGCCGTCACAAACCCCATAGCAGGATTTGCAAACTGTGGGGGGGGGGGGGGGGGGTTATGTACTCTTGGTATGGGCCATGACGAGAAATTGGCCAGAAATGTTACGCTCATTTTATAAAGCTTCGCTCCACCGAATGTAAGGTACTGCCCTTGTGAAACCAAGAAAAATGACATGTCAACCACAAAAATGTGTTTGATTTTGCTTTGCAGCTACCTTGACAGGTGAGAAGGGTCACAAAACCAACAAATCCAAGGACAACCATAATAGTACACACTTACTTGTAGCAGATACTGTTGTCGTCGTCATGGTGAGAACCACTACGAGAAGGATGAGTCGCCACTTCATGGCTGATTCTACAGATGCATGAACATTACAAACATACACACATACACCCACGTACATACACCCATACACACAAACACGCAAACACGCAAACACACACACACACACATACATACACACATACATACATACACACATACATACACACATACACACACACAAACAAACATACAAACACACACACAAACAAACAAACATACAAACACACACACATACATACACACATACATACAAACACACACATACATACATACACACACACACGTGCACACATACAGGTCAAAATGTGCTCTCGCAGAGAAGCGCAAAAACACATGAGCACACATGCAAACACCCATAACAGCCTTTGGGTCGTCCTAATCAAGTTAATAGAGAGGTTCCGCACTACGTAAAGTTGAGCAACTTTACGTTAGTGGGCGGGGAAAACCCGTGAATTCGCGAGTTTGCACTCCACTTACGGAAAGTTGTCTACGGAGAGTACGTAGATAGGGCTCTGATAACGTAGCTGGTCCGTAAGTGGATTGGGGTACAAATTTATGACTTTCTTCCCAGGTCGATCTGGTCTTACACTGCCGCGTTCGGAGTTGCCAAGGGCAGCTACGTGATTTGGAAACTCCGTATGGCGGAACACAGATGCGCATGCAGTTTACGTAAGACTTTCCGTAGATCGACTACGTTTTTTACTAACGTAATTACGTTATGCGGAACCTCTCTATTATTACTAAACAAGACAATGCAAAACCCTTGCATCAGAAGCCTGTGTCAGGAAGGACACATAGTACTTGAGATACAAAGCAGTTGTCATGTGACATGGTGGTTTAGTGTGGGTGTCTGGTTTCATGCCTACCTAGTACTGGGACGCCAATTTCACTTGCGGAAAACGTGTCTCAAAGCCTTGTCATGGTGGAAAGCTGACCGGAGTTTTCATGTGACCCGTGTTCCGTATTTGCCGCGCCACGAGCTCGTCGCCACACGGGCACAAGCAGAAAATCTCTTTTGCAGGCAATTGTACATGTAACGCGCGATTTTTGTTTCTCGTTTACCGACTGGTGCATTGACGCCATTAGTGATCTAACTCATGGCTCACTAGTAGGCCTTGGCGGATAATGCTCGAAAAGAAGTGAAATCGGCAGAACCATACAAACCTTATGGCGGGCAATTCCTCGAATTCTGCTCCAGTTCTTTATCCACATACCAAACATTCATGAAACTTACCAGAAAAAGTACCGAATTCTGCCAATTTTTCTGCCGGCATTATCCGCCAAGGCCTACTCACTAGTACATGCCAGAATTTTTTCTGGAAATATTGCTCAGGTCCTTCACGCAATTATGGTCGTATAGATTTTTAAGCGATCGGATAGCAGACGTCTAATTCCATAATGTTTATGCACAAAGCGATAAGATATTTTATGTAGTATAGATGCTGACCTAACGGTTTTTTGAAATCAAGTCTATTTTTTGAAACGCACTGTAGCCCCCACCTTGTTGATGATTTGACTGATTTCAACACCCGTAGTAGCCGCATACTCTGCTACCATGGGCTGCTTCATTTTCTTTAGTCATCTACCTCTCTGCTGTACTTAATCCATTGTCCATGTCCATTTGATGTTTCTTGTATTACACCTGAAAGTATACGAGAGAAAACTTTCTAAATGCTCATGAGCCTGAAGTGGGCTCTACTTCTTGGTATAATTGCATTCTTGTCTCCTAGGAAATTGTTCGTCTTCAGAACCTCAGAACCAGGCTGCGTTCGCTTTTGTCTACCTGGTAGAGTAGAGCGGATGTTGAGCGGATGTTGAGCGGATGTTGAGCCGGCAGATGGTCATTTATGTACGCAGATCTACACATTTCTGTAAAACATCGAATTTCACATTACGATGTTCCAATACATTTTGGAAAGCAGCTCTCATAGTCACCAAAGTATAGAAATACCCTATCTCTACCAACTTCGATCGGCTTCTACGAGCCTCAAATCTGGTAGAGATGGTGGAGGAAACTAGAATCTTCGGTTTGAGGTAGAAAAAAACAAAAACAAAAAATACGCTGAATGATGTAGCTTCTCCCCAACCCTGTAGATCCAAATCGAACGTCATTTTGCTATTCATGAATTCTGAAGAAATCCTTTTCTTTCCTTCCAAAGTGAATCAGCGTCAGGTGTTTGTGGAATGGTTGTGCCGATATTTCTTTCGAGAATTCGCTAGGATTTAGTCACAAGACAAGATAAATGAACCAAAATGTTTACATATTATTCGTAGTGCGTGTCCAACGCTAACACTTATAAGGAAGATGTGGAGTCGGAAGGTGAAACAGCTAGCACAATACTGACTGTGATACTGACATCCAACGACCTGATGACAAACTTCGGATAACATGAAACATGAAACACGTTGGTCCTTCCCTTTCATTTTGATCCTTGGCTCTCCATCCGAGATTTAGCCATAATAAACATTTTTGACCATATATAGCTGTAAAGCATGGCTGGGCACCTACCGGTAAGGAACAGTTTCCGTGCTTCCAAATGTGGTCTGTATAGGAAGACATGTCGACAGGACGTGTTCAAATTATCAATAAAATAATTATCATTATTCGGAAGGCAAAGTATAGCATGGTAAGTTTCATATTGATTTCGGTTGCGCGGCAGTCTAGAAAGTGGTGCAAAAAAGGAGAGCCGAGTTGGAAACAAAAGAATGACCCAAAAAGGGGTCGCCTAGCACGGAGGGAGGGGGGTGGGGGGCACGGCCTGGGAATCTCACTGATCGCCTTGGACCTGTAAACCAATCGCGCAAACCAAATGGACGATCTTGTGGTAGCCTATTAGTTTTAGAGTATTATAGTGCTTTGCTAAATACATCCCAAGGCCGAGTGCACCTGAAACTCCTTTTACAATCTTGACAGCGAGGAACGAAACTTACCTGGGGAAAGACAGTGACGATACTTCAGCCGTGCGTTTGAACCTGTCGTCTTTCTAGCCACTAAATTGCGTTCGACAGTGGCTCTAGCAGGTTTTCATTGAAGTTGAGTTGGAAAATAATTGGTGAGTGTTCGCAGAAAAGAAACTAGCTTCCAATCCGAAACGACAAGTGTTGCCTCTGTCCTCTAGTTCCCCTCCAACAATGGACTAGTATCAGGTCTTCACCCGCGCGCCGCGGGTACCCGCTCCACTTGGTTCATGTGTACAGGAAATGTGTACAGTTAGTGGCGTATAGTTTGAAGCTGCGATGCCTACAACTGCAAGCAAGCAACCGTTGCCATATATGGCACATTATTCAATATTTTGACCCTGTACGCTTAGTCCCGTAAGGATCCTTTTACGAAATTGCGTAGGGTACACACACTGTAAAATTAATTAATACTATGGTTAGATTATTATTATTATTATTTGAAACTCGTATCCATATGTCCTTTTCTCTTCCACAATTATTATTATTATTTTTTTTTTCTTCATACATGTATTATTATTATTATTATTATGTACTATTATGAGATGAAATAAAACAGGAAAGGGCACAGGCATACGTGCAAGGGATAGCAATCAACCTTGCACATGAATTGAGCATGTGTTCTAAATACATGTAAATGTAAATGCAAAACAATAAAAAACAAAAACACAAACATGTAAAAAAGGCGACGTGGAGACAATAATCTTAATAATGCAATGAATATAACTAAATGCGCACTCATATCACAACCATGGGGACGAATCATGTATTCCAGAACGTTTTCTTGTCACAATTATCAATGGAATTCGTGACCCATGGTTGTGATATGTGATATTCGTCCCCATGGTTGTGATATGAGTGCGCATTTAGTTATATTCATTGCATTATTAAAAACACAAACAATGAGCAATAACTTCAGGACTGGGCACAAGTCCTAAACCAGTAAAAGGTGCAAGAGATAATAATCAACCTTGCGAGTTCGAGTCAAAGCATGCGGACTCACAACAAAATGGCATCAACGTGAACAAAGAGGAAGAAGAGAAAGGAAACAGCAAAACAAAAAGCAAAAGACGGAGGATAAACGGCAACAGAACCAAAACTGGCAAACAAACCTGTGACATCATCATGCACAGACACAAAAGACAAATTGAACCGAGTCAAACTGGCATGAGCGACTCATGCTGCAGGACATCGCTGGGGTGATGGCTGAAATTCACCTTCCTCCGACTACCACGCAACATCATGACGGAGTCACGGACTATAGACTGAAGCCAAGCTCACAGCGGATCCGTCCCATGAGGACGCTGTACGAGTCTCCGGTTGCCGCTGCCAGGCGAATGGCGAGACGTTTCAACACATTCCGGGCCTCACCGCCAGCTCCCCCGACAGAGGAGAACTCCAATGGAGAGAAGCTGCCCCTCTCTACCCGCCGGATCCGCTCACCGTAAGCCGCTTTCTTCTGCTCCTCATGCCATCTGTAGGTCGCAGAGAGGGACTTAGTCATGTAAGAGGACGCGCAGGGATAGAAAACCCTTATGTCAAAAAATGCATCCTCTTGCATGGACCAGAGGCCCCTCCCCTTGACGTCCAGTCTGGCCTGAGGGTCAGTTATTATTATTTGAAACTCGGATGTTGAGCCATAAATAAATGTAGAAAAGAAAAGGATATAATTATAGTATCAAGATTACATAACCCAGGTTATGTACTCTTGATAGTATCCAGTTACAGTGATGGAGAGTTAGTAGTAGTAGTAGTAGTAGTAGTAGTAGAATTTATTATTTTGATAGAGAAGGCCCTACAGACGTTGCCGTCTTGTTACAGGGAACCCTAAGTGCTCTTTACAGAGCGAAACAAAAACAGTTACTCTTTGAATAACTGTTTCCTCTAAGACAAAAATGCGATAATACTCATAAAAAGGACACACTTCAGGCTCATTACAAACATCTTGAAAGTTTTTGTCTTCACAAGTATACTTTCAAGCCTTCTCATCAGGTGAAATACTCGTATCCATATTATGTCCTTCTCTTTTCTACATTATTATTATTAACTTTTATTTTACTAGGGAGATGGGGCAGGGAGGACAGCCAAGGAGTGATTTTTATACTTGTACAGGTACAGGAAGAGTAGGGAGAAACGACCAAGGAACTACAAGTTACGCTATAATTGATTATAAGGCTTCGGCCTTTGAGGAATCCCTCAAATAATAATACCGTAAAATCCCGCCAGAGCACCCCAACCTCCTCGACGCTTCAGGTGAGGAGGGGCGGATGGGCGAGTCCTACTTGCCGCATTCAGTGCTACGAGTCGTGCAGACCCGTCAAAACTCAGGGTTTGTGAGATCCCTGGTCAAGAGGGTGCACCGCGGTGGGCACTGTTGCGTACATTTCCAACGGGGTCGAGCACGCGTCCGCAGTACAGTACGGCATCACAGACTGCGACAGAGATACGAGAAATCACGTTCCTGACAAGAAGTCAGGGAGGGGCGGATAGGAGAAGATTTTACGGTAATAATAATAATGTCCATTATCACTCTTTTGAACAGCGCACAAATCTTAGGGTGTCATCGATTGGCGAATCTGGATTGAGTGCGAGCAGGCGGTGTGGTCCGAGCAACGCTGGCCCAATCGAACAAAACAAGGCTGTAGTACGCAAAATGTACGCATATCGTACAAAAGATTCTAGGAAAGCTGTCCAAAAACGGCAAAGTCCATTTCCACTCCAGCCACTCCTGGTGTGGGGGCCGGAGTGGTCGGATTCCACTCCAAGTACACCTACTCCGGATTCGATCGGATTCGACCAAACGATCACGCTCACTCGGAGCACACTTGCTCGGGATTCGCCCAATCGATCATGCCCCTAAACTCCATGTTTTCGTGTACCGCTGCTTGACCCCACATCTTGCTAGTCCCCTTCTCCAATCCTTGTTCCAGCTTAGGGCTGCTGTGCCTGGACACCAGGCTCGCACGCGCGGCCAGGCACAACGCGCATTAGTTCTTCCGCCTGTTTCTACGCAATATGGCATGCGTTCTATTTCTTTCCTGGCGGCAGACAGATGGAATGCTCTTCCCACTGACTGCCGTCAGGCCCCGTCTCTTACTCTGTATGTAAACATGGTAAAAATTCACCTAGGGTTCCCAGTAAAAAGGCAACGCCTGTTGGGACTCCCCTAGTAAAATATTAAAATCTACTACTACTACTACTACTACTCTTCTATATCGACCTCCACTAATTCTCGTGATCCTTGACTGGTCCTATATTACCAAGAGTACATAACCCCCCAGAGTGTGCAACGCCTGATCCAGCTCTGCATAGGGTCTTGGTCGAGCGGAATCGGATCTTTGCGTCATAATACCGTACACATCTGAGGGGAACCCGGGGAGTCGCGGGTACTCTTGGATCAAAAACAATGGTGCCCTGCCTCGAGACCGGCCTTGCGCTGGTGTGAAGTGTACGCATGACATCAGAAGATCCGATTCCGCTCGACCAAGACCCTACACAGAGCTGGATCGGCGTTGCACACTCTGGGGGGTTATGTACTCTTGATATTACCAAGAGTACATAACCCCCCAGAGTGTGCAACGCCTGATCCAGCTCTGTGTAGGGTCTTGGTCGAGCGGAATCGGATCTTTGCGTCATAATACCGTACACATCTGAGGGGAACCCGGGGAGTCGCGGGTACTCTTGGATCAAAAACAATGGTGCCCTGCCTCGAGACCGGCCTTGCGCTGGTGTGAAGTGTACGCATGACATCAGAAGATCCGATTCCGCTCGACCAAGACCCTACACAGAGCTGGATCAGGCGTTGCACACTCTGGGGGGTTATGTACTCTTGATATTACCCATATCGCCGTAATATTGACCGCTTGTATAGACCGCTTGTATCGACCACTTAGGCATTGTAATCTTTCGACTTTGGAGGGACTTAGAATTTTTCTCTCCACTTCAAAAAGAAAATTTGAAAGAAAGAAGACAAAGGAAGAGAACAGGCAGGATTCGAACCCACAACGGTATGAATCTCAAGCAACCCCTTATACCACCCAGCCACTGTGCTGCAGATGCGGAACCCTGTTGTTCTTACAGTCTTGTACGAGGTGAATTGCTATTTCTGGACATTGTACATTTCTGGACATTTCGAGTAAAATAATTTTTCGTCGCGTGTAGAGTCAAGTCAGTCAAGTTGATGAAGTTTTTTCTTGCCGTAGTTGACAGCTGGGTTGTTGTAGTTTCTCCTCGTGTCGATGCCTTGTTGATAGCCTTTGCTTGTGAGGCATTTCAACGAGTTTTGTGGTACTATGTCGCATGAGAATTTTGAATTTTGAGTAAAATAAAAAGTAATGGACGAATCGTTGGCTTCCCCATGTGCACTCCACTTCAGACGCTGTATAGTCTTGGACCTGTTGGCTGGAAGTGTGAAGAGGCCAACTGCAGTCCAGCAATAGAAAAAATAACAAAAATGGTACAGTATAGGATGCCTTTTGACGCTATTTTACTTTCATGTCCAGAATTCCATACACTGAAATTTAGGCCAAAAAATTGGCCTGTCGAAAACGTCCTGCTATAAAGTCTCTGGGATCACAGCATGAGCAATTGTCACATATTTGGAAAGATGAAGGATTAGGCCATGCAATAGATACAAAAAGATATGAAAAATGTAAAACACACAGCCTGTGGGGCTCTATTTTATTTTCATGTCCAGAAATTGCTATTCACCTCGTACCCAAAATAGGCAACATCCTATGTACACTATAGTACAAATGCTATACTAAAAAGGTTAATATAGCTCCTAAAGTTTCGAATTTTGGGGTTATGGCAAAGGAATAGTGATAAATAGGATATTGACCTCGACTTCGGTCTATATGGGAAATATAGGCCGAGTAAAAGACCGAGGTCCGCACATATAGACCTCGTCTTGGTCAATATCCTATACATATCACATGAACATTATTATTATTACCGTAAAATCTCCTCAGAGCGATGGTCTACAACTAATGATACTGAACTAGAACAACGGAAAGATTCATCAAGAGACAGCAGCGGACCGAACATTAGTGTAGCACAATTATTATTTATTATTAGTGTTAGGACAGGCACAGTCACAATGCCTCTGGGTCATCCTAATAAAGATATTAGGCCAAACTAAAGAAGGTGT